CTGGTAGTGCTTTCTAAGGTCCAGCTGAAATCGGTGCTGCTGTAGACCCGGCTGCTTCCCTCTCTGAAAGCTGGGCAGGCCTCCTGAGGGGCTTCCCAACCCTGGGCCCAGGAGCTCAAGTTTCTGCATGAGAAACTGGCTTTGATCCTGGCAAGCTGCGGGGAGAGGGGGCGGACCCACCTCCAGGCACTGTCTCACCCCCCCCCTCAAACCCCTCTCCTCCTCAGCCCGAGAGAGGCCGATTCCTCCACTTCCACTCTGTGACCTTCTGGGTTGGCAATGCCAAGCAGGTAGAGGCCTGGGCGAGGTGCTGGGGTGGGCAGAGGGCGGGCGGGAGGGCCTGGGGACAGGGGAGGACTCCAGCTGAGCCTGTGATTGGCCCCCGGGAGGAGAGGGTCAGGGCCAGTGCTGGGACCGGCTCGAAGAGACAGATACTCTGGGTCCTATTTACACAGTCAGGGCCGGACCCCAGCAGGAATCTTATCTGAGGTCAGGAGGGGTCAGAGGGCAGCCTTTCTCCCCAGGAGGACTCTGACCTGGGGCCATGGGGCGGAGCAGCTGAGGGGACTGGAGCTCTCACGGGCCCCCAAGATGGCCCCCGGGCCCTCACGAACAGTTGCTCTGTGATGCAGGCCGCGTCCTTCTACTGCAGCAAGATGGGCTTTAAGCCGATCGCCTACAAGGGCCTGGAGACCGGGTCCAGGGAGGTGGTCAGCCACGTGGTCAAACAAGGGCAGGTGAGTCCCCCCGCAGGAACACCACTCACCCAGGAGGCCCACCCCCTCTTCCCGCTGCTCGCTGAGCTCCCCGATCTCGTGCCTTTGGGTGAGGTAGACCAGGAGGCCCTTTGTCCAAGCAGACCCAGGCCTCTTCCCGGGTGCCTGGCATGGCGCGGGGAGCATGAGCTGCGTGCGGCCTCCCACCCCCACCCCACCCCGCCCTGACCCCTCCCCCAGGCACCTCTGTACCACATGCAACAGGGGCCTTCTTAGTTCTACCTCCTCCTCCGATGCTGGCCTCACGGATGTTCAGGAAAAACTGGCAGAGCCCACGAGGCCTCAGCAGCTGTCCCAGGCCCCCAGGGGTGGCGGGCAGATGAAAAGCCCCCCAGTCCTTCAGGACCAAGGGACAAACTAAGGCAGAGCAGGAACTGCAACCCAGGGCCGGCCTTGGCGGGGAGAGGGGGGGGCGGGGGGGGCTGCTCTGGTTCCTTTTGCCCCCACCAGGGGTGTCAGTGGCGAGCAGGGAGGAAGGGCGGGGGTCCCCAGGGCCACAGCTCACCCGCCTACTCCTCTGTGTCCTAGATTGTGTTTGTTTTCTCCTCCGCTCTCAACCCCTGGAACAAAGGTGAGGGGACCCCCGAGGGGTTCGAGGTGCCAGGGGCTGGAGACCTGGTGTCATGGGTGGGGGCGGAGTTCAGGGAGGGGGCATCAGCCTAGAAGGAGATGGAGTCCAGCCGGCTGGGAGGACAGGCGAGGGTCCGTGACTCCAACACCACCTCCACCCCCTGCCGGCCGCAGAGATGGGCGATCACCTGGTGAAACACGGAGACGGGGTGAAGGACATCGCATTCGAGGTGGAAGACTGTGACTACATAGTGCAGGTGAGGCCAGACCCGCTGGTGTGGAGACGGAGCAATGGGGCTCGGCCTGCTCTGTCCCCACAGCGACCCCGTCAGCCAGGGCTGGAGGACACCGCTGTGTTGAGGGACGCACGCTCGACTTCCAGTGACGCTCTGGCCTACCTGCGTGTCCTCTCTCTGAGCCTCAGTTTCCACAACTATAAAATGAGGAGAACCACTGCACCCCCACCTCACTGGGCTCTCACACAGAGGCAATGAGATCACAGTGACCACTTCTTTTCTTTTCTTTTTTAAATTGATTTCAGAGAAGGGAGAGGGAGAGATAGAAACATCAATGATGAGAGAGAATCATTGATCGGCTGTCTCCTGCACGCCCCACACTGAGGATCGAGCCCGCAACCCGGGCAAGTGCCCTGACCAGGAATCGAACCGTGACCTCCTGGCTCATAGGTCGATACTCAACCACTGAGCCACACCAGCTGGGCCCAGTGGCCATTTCTTGAGCACGACTCTAGACCAAACCCTTCACTCGAGAGGCAGTTCAGAAGTTCAGATCCCAGATCCAGAGGCAGACTTCCTGGGCCTGAATCTTACTTGCTGTGTGACCTCGGGCAAGTGGCTTAACTTCTCTGTGCCTTGATTTCGTATAATGTCACTGTGAGAATTAAAGAGGTTAATACCTACAGCAGGGCCTCCCATGTGACAAGCACAGACACGCAGTAAGGTAGGTTTGCTACATACATACATGAATTATGTGTGTAAGGCACTTGGCAGGGGTCAGACACATCCTCGGTGCTCAGTTAATGCCAGCTCAGATTCTTCTTATGGAACCCCCCCTTTTTACAGATGGGGAAGCGGAGGACTGGAGAGGGGAAAGGGCCACAGAGTGAGGGAGGAGAGGCAGGCAGACCCCTACCCCCAACTGGGTTTGTCTCCCATAGAATCAACTCTGGGCCTGGGCCTCCGTTTCCCAATCTGCCAAATGGGCATGAGGCATGGGCACCAGGGCCGAGTGCAGAAGCTGGCCAGGGTTCTTGCCTGGGGCTAGACCCCGCAGAGGTGATCCAGCAGGAGCAGCCTGCAAGGGCTCCCGGAGGGTCCAGCCCTCACTGCCACCCCCCCCCCCCCCGCCCATCTCCCCTGCAGAAAGCCCGGCAACGGGGCGCCAAAATCATTCGGGAGCCCTGGGTGGAGCAAGATAAGTTTGGGAAGGTGAAGTTTGCTGTGTGCAGACGGTGAGTAAACTTCGGTGCCCCCACCCTTCTGGCATCCGCACCCACTAAGATGCGGGGATCCCCCGGCCCCGCCCAGACTCCTCATGACCCCGAGTTTCAAAGCACAGCCTTCTCCCGGGAGTCCGATCCCCTGTAATGCCTGCCCAGGGTGCAGAGGCCGATGAGCGCTACCTGCCGCCCCTCATCCCCCCACCATCCCCCAACACACTTCCCTTCCTCCCCAGTGAGGGTGACGTCCTGGGGATGGAGGCTTCAGGCGGGGTCTGGGGAAGCCGCCCCCTGCGCTAGCTGTGACTTTGGGCAAATCACTTCACCTCTCTGTGACCTCATTTAAGTGAGCGAGGACTGGGGCTGGACCCTCTGTGTGATCTGAGATGCAGTACTTAACCTTTGTGTGCCCCAGTTTCTTCACCTGTAACCCTCCTACCGTCAAGGTCAAATGAGATCACCCGTGTACAGCCCTTAGCACAACGGTGGCTGGCACAGACACTCAAGCAAAGATCACCAAGGTGTTTCCCACCTGTGTTATCGTCACACAGAGACAACCGCAGCCCCACCTTCTCAAGGTTAAATACACTTAAAGGTGGTTCCCATCGAAAGCGCCTGCGCTGTGGTCTGACCCAACGCCCTCGTCTTTCTTCACTTACTCACATCAGTTTATGGCACCAGGCACTGACCTGGGTGCTGACCCATAGCGTTGAACAAGAAAGGGTCCCTGCCCTCGCAGAACCTCTGGTCCTGTGGGACACACAGAGTCAAAGAAATTCCCAAATGACAGACTGCAAGTCCTTTCAGAAAGGGGAAGTGACTTGCCCAAGATCACACGGCAGGTTAGGACCAGTCGGGCTGGGACCCGGGCTGTGTTGGCGCCATGTCCTGGCCTCAGCGGGGAAGGGAGCTCAGGGGCCCAGCCAGCCTGTTCTCCGCCCGTAGTATGGGGACACGACACACACCCTGGTGGAGAAGATGAACTACACCGGCTTCTTCCTGCCTGGATTCGAGCCCACGACAAACAGAGACCCCGCACTCTCTAAGCTGTGAGTGCTCCTGGAGCGGGGCGGGGGGGGGGGGGTGCGGGGGGGACGGGGACACACACTGCTCCCCTCCTCTGGGCTTCCCTGCAGGGGTGGAGCGTTGCGAGCCTGCTGGGGAGCTCCTGAGGGTCCCCACGGGGGGCTTGGAGAGGCAGCACAGAGCCTAAGAACATAGGCTCCGGAACCAGCCTGCCTGGGTTCAAATCCCAGCTCTGTCACTTCACAGCTGCTTAACGGTGGCCAGTTCCTGTATTTCTCTACACCTCAGTTTCTTCACCTGGAAAATGGGGCTAGTGAGGGTGTGTGAGCGACACAAATAAGATGCCTGTAGCAGGTGCCACGCAACAGGTTGCTGTTATAGTCGCCGAGGAGCCAGCGGGAAGGAGAGCAGATGCAGGGAGAGACTTTCTCATCCCTTAACCGATCCCTCTCCCAGGCCCCAGAGCAACCTCGAGGTCATCGACCACATCGTGGGGAACCAGCCCGACCAGGAGATGCTGTCCGCCTCGGACTGGTGAGTCCCTGGCCCAGGCCCTCCCCCAAAGACCCCCCACCCCCCGTGTCCTTGCCCCCAGGACACCAGCGCGGGCCCCAGAGCGCCAGGTGGTCGGAAGTTCACGTGAGGCTTGTTCCCTGTAAAACCGTCCCCATGGAGACCAGAGGATTGAAGGCCCAAAGTGACCCACAGGTGGAGGCGGGAGGAAGACTGCCCCACCCAGGCAGCGCCCTTGTGCAAATGAGGAGCAAGGCCCCTTCTCAAAGCACTTGCTGCGGAGGCATTGCTTCCCCATAGGATCTGGTTACAAGACTGTACGCCCGCCCGAAGGGAAACTGTCAGGATAAAGGGGCAAATCTGTGATGTGTGTGACGGACGGACGGACGGACGGCGCCTCCTTTCCGGAGCGGGCTCAGGGCACAGATTCTGGAAGATGGGCACAGGGGCCCGGGGCCGTCCCAGAGCCAACGTGCCCTCCCGGCCCCCCGCAGGTACCTGAATAACCTGCAGTTCCACCGCTTCTGGTCCGTGGACGACACACAGGTGCACACGGAGTACAGCTCGCTGCGCTCCATCGTGGTGGCCAATTACGAGGAATCCATCAAGATGCCCATCAACGAGCCGGCGCCGGGCAGGAAGAAGTCCCAGATCCAGGTGGGGCCGGACTGGGGCAGAAGGACGCAGGGAAGAGGTGTGAGGGCCCCGGTGGTGACGGGCCGGTGACGGGGTGTCCTTGCTGCCTTCCCGCAGGAGTACGTGGACTACAACGGGGGCGCGGGCGTCCAGCACATCGCTCTCAAGACCCAAGACATCATCACAGCGGTGAGAGGCCCGTCCCTGGCCCCGAGTCACCTCTGACTCAGCTCCAGAGCCAATCCCTGCAGGAAGGAAAGGGGGGCAGTGCAGCCCCCCGCTTCACCGGCCCGAGGGCTGACGGAGCCCCTGCTGGTCCCTGCCCCTCGTGTGCAGGCACAGTCTCAATCCGCAGAGTTCATCTCTCTTCGCAACAACATTCTGGGCTTTAGAATCAGCAGGGGCCAGAGTTAACAGGAAGCCTGCACTCTCTTCCCAGCTCTGCCAGGGACTTGCTGTGTTTCTCCGGGGGATTCGACCCCCCTCTCTGGGCTTTCGTCACGTCACCGTGAAATGAGGATATTAGGTCCAGAGGGATTAGGTCCTTGGAGCCAAATTGAACGTCCTGAGTCTACGCCCGGGGGAGGCTGGGCCTCCCTTATTCCTTCGATGGCTGTATGTGGCAGGGTGGCCAAGAGCCTGGCCCGTCCCATTCAATCCCAGCCCAACCAAGAATTCACTGCGTGACCCTGGCCACTGCATTCATTCATTCATTCATCCACTTACTCAATAGATGTTTACTGAGGGCTGACTATGTGCTGGGGGCTGTTTTAGGTCCTTGGGACCCATCTATGGAGGCAGAAAACGAAACAAGTAAAACGCACGTGTGAGAAGGCAGTGAGCGCTCTGGCAGTGGGAGAGGGAGGGTGTAGGACACTACAACTTGCACAGGGTGGTCACGAAAGGCCTCCCTGAGAGGGAGACATTGGAGAATGCAGAGTTGGAAGGGCCAGGCTTGGAGGAAGCACGTGAATATCTGGGGGAAAGCACCCCCGGCGGAAGGGACAGCCAGGGCAGAGGCGGGCTGAAGGAACAGCAAGATCATGTGGCTGGAACAGAAGGAGCAAAGGAGAGGGGGGCAGGAGACACGGTTAGCACGTTGGAGTGGGGGCAGATGGTGAGGACTTGCACTCAGAGATGTGACGCCACCGTGGGGTACGCAGAGCAGTGACGTGACTGGTATTTTAGTAAAATCGCTCTGGTTATGACGTTGAGAACAGATACGTAGTCTCTCAATGCCTCAGTTTCCCCAGCTGTGAAGTGGGCATAGTATCCTCCAGATGCCTCAGGAGATCACTGTAAGGACAGAACGAGGCATTGCTTAGAAAGTGCTGGGGACAGGCACCCGGTGAGCATGCCACAAAAGCTAGTGATTGCTGTTCCTCTAAGGGGACCCACAGACCCCCCCCCCCAGGAGGAAGGGGGCGGGGTCACAGCACACCCTGGCAGTTTGGGGGAGCCAGAACGGGGACCCTGCCTCCTCCTGGCCAGCACCTCCCCCTGGCTAGGGATGCTGAGCATGGCAGAGGAGGCTGAACTTGACCCTGTTCCGAAACAGATTCGCCACTTGAGAGAGAGAGGCATGGAATTCCTGGATGTCCCGTCCACGTACTACAAACAGCTGCGGGAGAAGCTCAAGTCGGCCAAGATCCGGGTGAAGGAGAGCCTTGATGCCCTGGAGGTGAGGCTGGAGCAGGCTCCCGGGTCAGCTGGGAGAACGCGTCGAGTTCCATCTCGCCTCACAAATTCTGTCCAAAGCCCTACCCTGCGCCAGGCACCCAGACACGGAGGGAAGCCAGACCAGGCCCCTGCTGTCATGGGACTTGCGTTCTAGTGCGGAAACAGATGACAAGGACATAGCACGGACACCATCAGAGAGCGAGGGAGTCGGAACGCACAGGAACTTAAAACAGGCTGTGACAGAGAGGGACCTGGACCACTTTACTGGAGGTAGTCAGGGAAAGCTTCTCTGAGGACGTGCCATTTCCGGGAAATCTAGATGATGAGAAGGAGTTGGCCATGTCAAAGGCCGGGGAAAGAGCAGTCCTGGCAGAGGGAACAGCAGTGCAAAGGTCCTGAGGCAGGAGCTGGCTCCAAGTGCCCGGGGAACAGAAAGACTAGAGCGGATGAAAGGACGCACGGCCTAGGTCACAGGGGTAGGCTATTCAGGACTTTGGATTTTGTTCTTCTGTGGCCAAAAATCATAGTAGCTTTTTTGGGGGTTTCTAATCATTTTAGTAATATACTAGAGGCCCAGTGCACGAAATTCGTGCAGGGTAGGATCTCTAGTGGCTACAGTCTGCTAGCCAAGGCCTCCCTTACCCTGGCTGCCTGCAGCCCCCGGCCTGGGCCTTCATTCGCACCCCCCTTGGCCAGGCACCACCATCCCTCAAGGGGGGCCCAGCCAGCCAGCAACACCGGCCATGTTCTGCACCGCCCCCTGGTGGTCAGTGCACGTCTAACTCCCTGTCTGTGGGGAAGATGGATTGTGAAGAGGCAAAAGCAGAAGCAGGGAGAACTCTGTGGAGGCTATTCGGGTGGTCCAGGCCGGCCACGATGCAATTGGGGATCTCTTTAATTTTTATTTACTTATTTGTTTTGAGTGGATCTATTTTGAGCTGTCTGGAACTGCTGGAGACACAGGTCTTTTCTTGGCTGAGGGGGTGCAGGAGCCCCTTCCTATGGACTCTCTAAGGATCCCATGTGCCAGGCAGGGGGGCCTCCCCCTCATCCTGCCCTCTGTCTCCAACCTAGGAGCTGAAAATCCTGGTGGACTACGACGAGAACGGCTACCTCTTACAGATCTTCACCAAGCCCATGCAGGACCGGCCCACGCTCTTCCTGGAGGTCATTCAGCGCCACAACCACCAGGTAGGTGGCGCCCGGCCCCAGCGAGCCCGAGGGGCGGGCGTGCAGGTCAGCCTGGCTGGCTTTCCGGACTCGCAACTCACCTCCTCTCTCCCGCTGCAGGGTTTTGGAGCCGGCAACTTCAATGCACTGTTCAAGGCGTTCGAGGAGGAGCAGAACCTGCGGGGCAACCTCACAGACCTGGAGCCCAACGGAGTGATCCGGGGCATGTAGACCCGCGAGTCCCGCCTGAGCTGCCGAGGCCCCGCCCACCTGCCAGCGCACGGCGGGCCACGCCCCCTAGCTCTGGAACACGCCCACCCCACCGTCTCTGAACAGCAAGCCCTTCCTACTGGCCATTTCCTCTAGATCCCGCCCACCAGCTCGTTGGGACCCCCCCCCCCAAGGTTCCGCCCACCCCCTGACCACGCCCTCGTCCAGGGTAATAAAGCGGACCGGGATCCAATGCGGTGTCTTGGTGTCTGTGTGGGAGGCCGGCGCAGTGACGCCGTTTGGCCGCCAGGGGGCAGCAGCGCTGCAGGAGGCGTCTGTTAGGGGTGGGGTGCCCCGCGGGAGCCGAGGCGCCAGGTGCAAGCGCTTTGCCAGCAGGACCTCAGGGTCATGGGAAACTTGGAACCCGGGCGAGCAGAGGGCTTACACTCTAGAGGGGAAGGCAGTATCGTTTCCTGAAGTGGTAAATGCTATCAAGAAAATAAAGCAGGGCCCTAACCGGTTTGGCTCAGTGGATAGAGCGTCGGCCTGCGGACTGAAAGGTCCCAGGTTCGATTCCGGTCAAGGGAACGTACCTTGGTTGCGGGCACATCCCCAATAGGGGGTGTGCAGGAGGCAGCTGATCGATGTTTCTAACTCTCTAACCCTCTCCCTTCCTCTCTGTAAAAAAACAATAAAATATATTTTTAAAGAAAGAAAGAAAATAAAGCAGGGCCCGGCCGGCGTGGCTCCGTGGTTGAATGTCGACCTATGAACCAGGAGGTGAGGGTTCCATTCCCTGTCAGGGCACATGCCCGGGTTGCAGGCTCCATCCCCAGTGTGGGGAGTGCAGGAGGCAGCCGATCAATGATTATCTCTCATCATTGATACTTCAATCCCTCCCTCTCCCTTCCTCTCTGAAATCAATAAAAATATATTAAAAAAGAAAAAGAAAGCGGGTGGTGAGACTGTGTGGAGGTGAAGCTGGAGGGAGGGATTACTTTCCATCAAGGGTGACATTTGGGGGCCAGCGTGGGAAAATGTGGAAAAACAGCATCCCGGGAAGAGGGAACAGCAAGAGTCAAGGTCTGAAGGTGAACCGCGCTTCGCAGCCTTCTCCTGTCCGGCGGCTTTCTGATCTCTAAAGATGAGCCCTTCCCAACTTTGCTGCCCTGAGCCCAAACTTCTGGGCATAGCGAGGGGAGGGTTAGCAAAGAGACTTTGGGGGAGCATTCTTGCTCTGCAACCATGGGACATGGTTTCCGGTCTGAGAGGTAGAACATGTAGGAGGGATCTGTGCAGCTCCAGTCCCCACACCCTTGCTAGTTCATACTCAAGTGTGAATGACCCTTGCGAAAGAATGACGCAGTTGGGAGAGGAGCTACTAGTCCTAAAACTCTTGGAAGGAAAATTTTCTTCAAAATCAGACACTCAAAAAAAAAAAAAAAAAAAAATCAGACACTCAACCCATCGAGCCACACTGGCCGGGCTCTAAAGTAAATT